ATTTGTTGCATTAAAATTTATATTCAATTAAAAAATTTACCTGACATATTTAAATCATTAGAAGAAATTATACAAATTTATTATTTTATTTGTATACGTATATTTGCAGTATATTTATTTTATTTTAGTTTTCAATGACTGATTTCATTTTCACAAGAGATATAGAATAGGTGGTTCTAAATTCTAATACAATAGAAAAGTCAAAAATAATACATTAATAAAATTTATATTTAATAATACCTACATGAAAATAATAGTAAAGAACTAAAACATGACAATCATTTTCTGCGCTTTTTCATTAGTGCGAATTATGTACTTATTACGTTAACAAAATCAATGGTTTGAGCTATGTTGCTTTCTATGCTCAATATGGCCAAATTTGATAGCCGGTCTTCAGTCATAGTTGAGCTAAGGCATGTTTTGAGAAGTTTTAGAACGCTAAAACTTCTTTCTGCAGTTGCACTGCTGACTGGTAGTGTATAAAAAATTTTATACAAAGTATATAAATTTGGATATGAAGAAACCATGTTTCATGATATCATGAATTTTCAATACATCATTTAATTTTAAAGTTCCAGTTACTCCAGTTTCAATAGTTTTGCCATTTGTTGGTAAACTAGATGTAATGAACGGTATTCCACTTCTATATCAATTTCATCTATGTCAACTTCATAAAATCTTATATAATATCTATATCCAACATATTTTTATACTTGTGTTTATCGAATTTTAGGTACGTACATTATAAGTTGATAAGCTTAAACACGATTTCGTACGCGTTATTTTACTTCAATACTCAGTCTTCACAGCTGTATATTATACGATATACCCCTATATCATAATAGCAGATCTTCGATATTTTGAAGGGGGGGGGGGGCACATATAAATTGTATAATTTTAATTTTAATTAATAATACATACATACTATCATTAATGATTATAATAAGTAATAATTAATAGTTGGTAGTATTATCCTTATCAACTGAATGTTTCATTTATATGATACTCGTAGTTACATAACAACTTGTCGACAGAAAATTGACAAGAGGCACGTGCCTCTCCTCTAAATTCACCACTGTACATAATTTTTTCAAATAAAAAAATGTTTATATAGTTTGCAATTTCGAGGGGCCACATTTAACTGGGAAAACAACTGTGGGTCAGCTGACCTCCCAATCCCCCCCCCTGTGTATAGGTACATTTATTTTATTTTACAAATTTTCAAATTGTATTATCATTAAATATGCTTTTCAATTGTAAGATTAAAAAAAATTGTGAAACTAATAATTTTAGCTTACTTAACTCGACCAATTTACTGCATACCACAAAAATGAGTTAATTTGTCAAATGGTTCTGGATAGTAATAGCTTTCCCTACAAAAAGTACTGACATTGCAGGAAGACAAATCAAAAAAAATAGAGCTGAATATCTGACAACCCAGCAGGGTTTTTCTAAGTATAAAAAAAAAGAGGCACCAAAATGCACACATCGGGAACACAACACTCGACATGCTGGGATCGAAATAGTTAAATATAATAAAAAAGAAAAATTAACTTATTTCATGAGATAATTAAAAAAAAAAAAGTGGGAAAGTGGATGTCGCTCTGCTGTACAGTAGGTTACAAGTGGGTCACTGTAATGGATGGTGTTAAATTTGAATTCAATGATATAATATCATTGTATAAGAAAAACTATTCTGAGCAAAAGCGGTCAGTCAGCCTAAATGATATTACTAAGTATATTAGATGATATTTAAGTAAATAAAATATTTTTTTTTATAACCTATTTACGTGGAATCTTGTTTTAAATTTTCAATCCTTAGTTATAAAGTTGAACATTTTATACATTTTTAACTACAAAATAATTATTAAATTTTAAATGTGATAAATTTTGTCAACATTTGAACTTAAAATACTTAAACTGACAATGTCTGTAAATAGCAGAAAAAGAGTAAAATTATTTTGAACATTTTATGGTGTATAGAAAATTCTAAAATAAATGTTCAGTGAAAATTTCATGTATCTAGTCATTTGTTTTAGAGTTACGCCAAAAACCATTTTGCGTAAAAATTGCTGTTTTTCTTAATTTTTATGTTGTTTTTCCTAGAGCTTTTGAAAACTATTGGGAATTTTAAATTTTAACCTCAAGAATGCACTAGATTCACTTTCCCATTGAACAATATACTGTTGAAGATATTGAAGCAGTTTTAGTACCCCAAATGGTGATGACACAAAAATAAAAACATTGTAAAATCAATACATTCATCGCTCCACTCAGAATCTAAAATATATAAATATATCTTGTTAATTATAACTGAAAGTGATTAATCAGATGAAAATAGGCATACCTAATGATGGAAAAAGTTAATTATATTTAAAAATGAATGTAAAATGTATTATAATAAAATAATCAAAATTGTTAAATATAATGAATACAAAAAATTAACTTATTTTCTAATATAATTTTTAAAAAAAAATATAAAAAAACACATTATTGTAAAATCAATATTCGTCAAAAAATAAGGCATCAATGAACTCTGCTACACCTTGTTGTTAATTATCACTGAAGGTGATTAATCAGATGAAAATAGGCATACCTAATGATGGAAAAAGTTAATTATATTTAAAAATAAATGTAAAATGTATTATAATAAAATAATAAAAAAATAATCAAAATTGTTAAATATAATGAATACAAAAAATTAACTTATTTTCTAATATAATTAAAAAAAAAATATATAAAAAAATACATTATTGTAAAATAAATATTCGTCAAAAAATAAGGCATCAATGAACTCTGCTACACCTTGTTGTTAATTATCACTGAAGGTGATAGATTAATCAGGTGATAATAGGCATAACTATTGATGGAAAAAATTAATTATATTTAAAAATGAGTGTAAAATGTATTATAACTATGTATGTATAATTAACTTATTTTCTAATATAATTTAAAAAAAAATACATTATTGTAAAATCAATATTCGTCAAAAAATAAGGCATTAATGAACTCTGCTACACCTTGTTGTTAATTATCACTGAAGGTGATAGATTAATCAGGTGATAATAGGCATAACTATTGACGGAAAAAATTAATTATATTTAAAAATGAGTGTAAAATGTATCATAATAAAATAATCAAAATTTTTAAATATAATAAATAGGAAAAATTAACTTATTTTTATAAGATAGATAAAAATTAAAAAATATATATAAAAAATAAGTTATCAATGAACTCAGCTACATCTTGTTGTCAATTATCCCTGAAAGTGATTAATCAGATGAAAATAGGCATAACTAATGATGGAAAAAGTTAATTATATTTAAAAATTAATGTAAAATGTATTATAATATGGGACCCTCATACTACAGACAATGCAAGGCAAATTGAGCGTGTTCAGCGCCGGTTCCTACGCTATGCTAGTCATATCCTTAAGATACCTTATGCACTTCATAACTACACACCGGTTGCTATTCATCTAGGTATGGCATCCTTAGCCGAACGTCGCCGTGTCGCAGATCTTAAATTCCTAGCGGGTCTTTTAAACAATAATATAGATTCTCCAGTCCTTCCCTCGCAAAAACCAAAATAAAGTTCCATCCCGTCCATCCCGCCAAAAGGCCCTCTTCTATGTCCCGCACGCCACCACTAACTATATGGCTAATGTGCCTTTAATACGCCTAATGTCGTCTGCCAATGCAGAACCTTTCTTTGACGAATTGCTAAATTTTTAATATACAAATATAAGTTATAGTTTTTTGTTTTAATGTTTAAGTTTTTACTGTCATCAGATAATTGTATTTCATATTAATGTAAGCTGTATATATTTCATTTAGTTTTGTCTTATTGTAAAATTTCTATCATGATATGAAATATACATTGTAATGTCAAAAAGGGCTAAGCCCGTATGACAAATAATAAATAAATAAATAAATAATAAAATAATAAAAAAATAATCAAAATTGTTAAATATAATAAATAAGAAAAATTAACTTATTTTATAAGAGTATTAAAAAAAATATACAAAAAGTACATCATTGTAAAATCAATATAAGAAATAAATGAATTCTGCTAAATTTTGTTGTTAATTGTTATCACTGAAGGTGATTAATCTTAAAAAGTATACAGATATATAATAACTAATTGTTTGTTTTCACAAAGCTAATTTTGAAATTTTATTTTTTATTTTTATATTTCTTCAGTTTTATCCTTTTGAAGACATTTTTTAACTCAATTAATAATTTTATAAATTTTTTCTCCACGGACATTTTTATTTTAATAAATACAACCAAAACATAAATTTAATTTTAATTGTTGTCATATAATATGGTTTTTAATTGTCTGCATGTGCATGTTTTTTCTAAAAGCGCTTGAAAATCGACGATAAGATTAATTTGATTAATAGTTAAATAATTGTTTATGGTGTGATGCCAGATTTATTTTTATTTTCCATATAAATGCACATTTTATGGCTAAAAGTCCTCTGCCCTAATAATAACAATACAACAAGAAAGAAGATTGATATTCCAACAAAAACACTCCATGTAAAAATAAACACTAAATATAAAAAAAAAACCCGCTCTAAGAGTTGTGATTTTTATAACCAAAGCTTTGAACTGTAGATATAATGTATGTTAAAATAGTCTGCTCATAACTGAACTTAGCAACTTGGAATAAAATAATATAAAACATTTATATTTAATTTAAAGTATATTTTAGTACAACTAAAATTAATTTATGAATTATTTTTAAATCTAACTTTTTAATTTTTAATGAACACAATGAAATAGTTGTAAAGTGTTAAATTATAAGTATTAATTATATATTTTCAATGTTGTATGAATTTAGATAGGTATGTATAAAATATTTCTTAATTATAAATTTTATGTTAGCTTTTATGAAATAGGTACACAGATTAAAAAGAAAATGTAATTCATGTACTTAGACAATGAATATAAAATAAGAAAAATAAAATGGTTTTAATAATGAATTACATTTACTTATTTCATTGGTTTGACAATAAATGTTTCTTCCATATTATTCTTGGTACAATATTCTTTGAGCAACTTCAGACCTCGCTCATTTGCCAAATGAAGAAGACCAACAAATACAATTGGTATTGAAAGTCCGTCGCGTTCATTAATTCTTAAGTTTACTAGCAAGTCAAAAAATGATAACTTAGAACTCCATTCACTATTGGGATCAATTTCCTTTAAAAACAATTAAGATTATGAATAAAACTACAAACATCATTATTCATTATATAAATTCTTACAACACATTCTTCGTCAATAATATCAGATATTTCTTTTTTTAATTCTGCTATATCCATTCTTGATTCTGATTTAATGCCCATAACATCTTCATCTTCAGAGTTCAACTAGAAACAAAAATTAATTTAAATTAAATTAATTGTGAAAATAGGTTGGAAATATATGTGGGAGCTTAACAGTTTCAGAACCAGATGGCAGATGTAATCCTAGTGGGAGTCTGTCTGTGATCGTGCTTGACCGAGTCAGTGGCATATATCATAAAAAAATTGGTGTTGCTCAAATAATTTTAAGTGACCTACCACTCATAATATTGTTATACCAACCTATAAAATGTTCTATATTTCTCCTATCAATATCCACCCCAGTGGCGTATATATAAATTATTTTCACTATGGGCCAATTTTGTCAATTTATCACTATTCAAGCATAGCACGACTAACATAGCCATAATACTATACATATTTTAGGGAACTGGGTGGTTATAATTATGAAGTATAAAAAGACAAATAAAAATTGAGCAATTTAATTTTATAATAAAATTATTATTATTATTATTATTATTTAAAATTAATTTTTTAATTCTTTTTTAAAAAATATTGACAATTTCATATATATATATTTTCATGTTATGTAACTGTGAATTTAACATCAAAGTCATCAAAGCAAGTCATGACAATCATTTCCTTGTTGATTCCTCAAAAACGATTTTAATCAACCAGCTAAATTAATCATGGTGAAAAAATGTAAACAGTGTAGATATACATGAAATGCTTTAATTGAACCTGCAATTTCACTATGGACTCTGGCCTAGGGGGTCTCCTCCCTATATACGCCACTAATCTTCCCACCCATATTTATGGTGTTCCCAGAGCAACACTTGGACCCTATGTCACACGTCACTTAAGAGAGTCAAGTCAGTCTTAAGATGCGCAAAAACTATGTGCAAAATAGTTGAGTCTTGAGTGTTGTTACTTTTTAAGTTATCATTAATTGTATAAAGTATAAATAAATAAACAGTAAACCATTTTTTGTTAGTCATCCTAATTCCCACATATGTTTGTATGATGTTTACATCTTTAAACGCAATTATGTTCTCAATATACTCTAAAAAATATGTTGCAAAATATTATTAAAAATATTGATAATTATGTTCACAAATACCACAATATGTTTAAAATATTCTTTGATCTAAAACATGAGTTTGTATGCAAAATAAAAAAAATACTCATTAATTGTGATATATAATTTAATCTAACCAACAACTTAAAAACCAAATTTTAAGAAAAAATAAATATAAATATATAAATTACCTCTCCAGATACATCCAATGGTTCCAATATGTCTTCAGTTCCATAATTCATCATTTCTACATCATTTCCATTTGTTGACTGTTCAGAGTCTCCATTATCATCAATTTCCATGGATTCTACTGTTTCGACAATGCTTTCACCACAATTATTGATATTCTAGAAATATAATATTCACACATATTTTTAAGAAATGTATAGAAATGGTTTGCATAATATGTATTATAAATACAAACTGGAGGCATATTTTCTATAATATTTAATCATTTGTATTTGTACCTGACAGGAATTTGAATCTTCAGAACAAATATCTTTTTTTCGGTTTTTGTGTATCCACCAATCTGGTTTAATTTCAGCATATTGTAGAAAATCAAACCTAATTTAAACAAATCGTATTAACTGTGAGTGTGGGGCTGATAAAAATGTTACTTTTTGACATATTGATGAATACAATTATATTTTTATCAGTAGAATACAAATTCACAAATACTTGTGAAACACATATTTGTCTTATATGACATATATAAAATAAGACCAACATATAATGAACATGTAGAATCATAAACTCTTGAGTGGATTAGTCATTTAAAGTATATATTTAATTATATAATTTGACACTATATTAGTTATGGTTATAAGTTAAAAGAAAATAATGGTTATAATAACTGTTTACTTACTTATATATAATATCAACATCAATTGTTTGTGTATCAGCTATATGATCAAGTGGATCCCATTTTTGTAGTGTACGAGCTAATATTTGTTCTTTACCTTGAATATTACTTTCAAATATTTCATTTATTTGGCTTGTAACCAACCAGTTTATTTTAACTCTATCATGCTTAACTTGATTGCGTTTCTTATTAGTTTTACTAGGTTTAATTTTTTGCGGAGTACTTTCATCAATATTTTCTTCAATATTTGAAGCAATTTCTTTTCGTTCATCTATAAAGTAGAACAGATTTTAAATAATCATTTCATTACAGAAATTGTAAGAAATATAAGGAAATTCAATATTATTTTATACAATTTTTTTTTACACACTTGGAGTACACGATTTTAATGCTTTCACCATGGCTTGGGCTTTCCAAGCCTTTGGTCCTTTCCAATTAGCAAGAAGCTTAGGATTAAAAAAACTATAATCTCTATCAACGTTGTCAATACATTCCAAAAGTCCATCAAGTACTGTTGTATCTTTAGCATTTGAACTGGGATCTTAAATACATATTAAAATAAATAATTATTTTAAAAGTAAAACATTTTTTTTAAAGTACATAAATATCTATTAATAATGAATAATACAAATTGTAAGGTTAATTTGAGTATAAGTTTAAAAACATGTAAATTTAAATATGTTTTTGTAATAGACAAACAAAGGTATCCATGGGCCATTAAGTGATTATTATATATATTATAATATAAGTACCAAGTTCATTATTATCTGGTTCATTATTATCTGGTTCATTATTATCTGGTCCATTATTATCTGGTTCAATATCATCACATACAGAGTCTTCAGAATTATTTAGAAATTGATGATTATTAGGATCGAAGCGATACTCAATACCGTCTAATTTATCATCGTTCGAATCGTCCACTTTGTCACGTTCAGCTATAAAACCTTTAAATTCAGGGCAGATAGCTCCTTGAATGAATTCATCTAAAATAACAACTCTATTAGTATATATTAATTTTTTTTTATATAATAGGTACTTAAATAATTGAAATAATTCATACCCATAATACGGAAAAAACTTTGATCAACTTCTATTGTTTCCTCATTTTTTTTTTTTTCTTCAAATTCTTTTTGTCTATCATTAAAATCTTTCATTTCTTCTGCCAAAGATTTACCGGAGTACATTGATAAAAGACGGCTAGATGGACGGCTAGTGGAAAATAATTCATTAGAATTATAGCAAGAAGTGATATGACTTAATAGATCAGGATTGAAAGTTTCGTTTTCATTTGGTTTACGTCTTAATTTTTCATTTGTAGTCAGCATCGTTCTTTGTCTCTACAATCCAAATAATGTATTTATTAAAAAAAAAAAATTATTATTATCAAATGTTAAGAGATACCTTTGGTTTCTGACTTTTCGGTGCATTATCATCATCTACTGGAGTTGTACTTTTTTTGTAGTTCATGGATTTAAATTGTTCAACTAGTCTACTAGTTGTTTCTGTCAAATTGTCAACACGATAAGAATAGACTTTAGCTGAGGCTTCAAGATAGTCACTAATCTCTTGGAACTAATATACAAATAAAATTCTAACAGATTAGTATATTCAAGGTCTAAATTAACATAATCTGTAAACTATTTACCGAGGTAACATCATTTTCATCTTCAAAAATTGAGCTTTTTTTTTTCTCCAACCAAGAATAAAAATATCCAATCATATCAATGTCAAATGCGTTGGATACATTTATTTTCTAAAAAATAAATTTTAAAAAAGTTAGAGTTTAATCTATAATATTCAATAGATGGTTAATTAATAGTGCCTAAGTAGACAAGATACCCATAATATGTGTTTTTACCATCTTACAACATAGGTAAATCGTGGCAAATCAGCAGAATCAATTTTGTATTGTGAATTTTCATATTACAGTATATTTACCAATTAGTCCTACATATAATTAAAGTTAAGAATATTAAGTATGTGATTTCTTGCATTATTTTTATATTTTTAATTGTAAAGCAAGTCATAAGTACTATGTCAAATATTTGAATTTAAAAATACTCTACTCACTTTAAAATTAAACTAATTAAAAAAAAATCTATGACAGAACACAGATAATATTCTTACAATGAAATGTTTACTCAGCTAAGTAAAAGTTATAACACAACATGGATTTTGCTGAATACAAATATTATTTTATTGTACATTGTTAAGAAAGAAAACTGTATAATTATTATACAGGTATTATGTTCTCTTAACTTGACAAGCAGTATAGCTAACTCTAATATTTTATAGTGTACTAAATCAAAGGGCCAATTTTGTTAAATTGTGATGCAAGTCAAACTCAATTCGTTGGGTGTAAGCTTTTAAATTACTCAAAAAGTATCTATCTACAAAACTGCTTACTGTGCTTGCAATTATCCACAATTTCTGTACAAGTACCTTCTTCAAAGGTGTGACATCAGCTATGTACTTTAATATTCTCCACAAATGTTTAAGATGTGTATATAATATTATAGAATATAAACATGTTAAAAATATTATTGTATCTACATCATAAACTCATTATGTATCTTTATAAAGGTACATTGTTACTTATTGTCTCAATAACTATTTGTAATTAGGTAATTACTTCATATAGAAAATCGATTTTTACCAATCATAGGTACTTGAACAAAATAATGATTTTTTCTGTGCATATGTTGGGTATACAAATATTTGTTTCTGAATATTATAACTTAAAAACTTAAATAGTTTTAAATTTATTCCGTCGCCCTAACATTAAAAATAATATAATTTTATATTTCTATAGATCATTTTTGTTCCGGATTTACTTTATACTGCTATCCTCATTGTGTATTTTCATTTCATCTTATTCATATTTTTTGAAACATTATCTTTAGTTACAGAATACAGGATTATTGTTGGATAATTAGTGTTAAAGGACATCACAACACTATTTAATAAATCTTAAGTTTATTGGTGAATTATTGTAGTTCAAATAATAAAAACATTTTTGGTAAAAATCCGAAATTAAAAAAGGACATCACAACACTATTTTATAAATCTTAAGTTTATTGGTGAATTATTGTAGTTCAAATAATAAAAACGTTTTTGGTAAAAATCCGAAATTAAAAAAAAATGATTATTCAGCAAGATAATGAAAGTTGATAAAAAGTAGAATATAGCCGCCCATGTTTTAAGAGTAAAAGTAGTTTGATTTACACAATGATTTTTATAACTTATGATGGTATTTCAGAATTTTTTTTTTTTTTATTACCCTAAGTAGGTATATTTATGTGCTTAAGACAATAGATTGATTTAAAATTGAATACATCTTATTTTTGTATACATATTATAAGTTATAATTAGGCAAAATGATTGGGTTCGCTACTCGCGTTGTATGGCCATATATACTAATTTTTACAAAATTCAATATAAAAAAACTAGAAAGTATATCAAAACTATAATCACACCTGTGTCATAAACACAGAAAAACACTTATGGTAACATATTAAAAAAAAAATTAAAAAATATTATTTACGATTGAAATTGTTGTCAATCTAGACACTTTTACACATTGTTTTTTTTTGCGTATGGCACTATGTCCGGGAGTAGGCTTGAAGGCCTAATTCGGACGCCTATTTGGCAGGATTTATAATTGGGAACCCGTAGGTTCTGCCATGCCTAGTTGGGGGATGGCGGTCTCGCCGCCTAAACAGTTTCCTGCCCAGAGAGTGATGGCATCCGTGGCCAGGATTCGAACTCGCAACAGTGCGCTTAAGAACCAACGCCTAGTCCCCCCATTTTAACATGTAAAACATACACCGTCATTCAGACTTCGGCTCTATGACGTCACATAAATATTTTCAAACACCTTTAAATCTAAGGAAACTTGTTTTTAGTATTGTTATGTCCTTTAAGCGATTGTCAACGAACCATGAAAACGTGTTTGCTTATGGTTTAATTTTTTAATGGAAGTCCATCACTCACAAATGGCATGGGCATGGATTAAAAGCCGTTGTTTACATTTTATAATACATTTATAATTATAAGACTTACGTTTCCAAAACATAAATTGCGGAAAGTTTTAATCTTGTGACATATTTCTTCGGTCGATAAGTTTTCAAGATTTTCTTCTTCATCGTCAGACGAATCGGAATGGAGATTGCTTGACGTCTATAACACATGTTTTAGTATAATAATATTAGAAAAACAATTTAAAGTTTAAAACAACTATACGAGCCATACACATACCGATGGTTTGTTGTATGACGCCATTTCGTACACTTGAGACCGAATTAATTTCGGTATTATATTCTACGAACAAACGCCGTTTGCCGTTTCAACGCGTTACAACAACAGAACGGCACAAAGGAAAAAATGACCAGCGCAAACGTTACAGAAGTAATTGCCGAGTTTCAAAAAAAAATATAGTACCTAACCTACACTCCACTACAACAACAACAACAACTGTTGTTGTCGGTACACAATATTACTATCAGTAGGTGCAACTGTGATTTGGACAGATGTTGTTTACAATATGCTCACTGCCAACACTGTGTTAACAGTTTTCGCATAGAACAGTTTTCGCATAGAACAGTTTTCGTAAACGGTTGAGTTGTAGCTGACACTGCAGCCAGATAGAACCACCGACTACTATTACAATAATCACGGTCTTGAAAGATATCGCGGCAATTTTCTTGCGCACGCACGACGTAGGACATTTTCGTTCGCCATTTTCAATAGGGGGCTGTCAGTTTTTGATATTAGAGTGAATTGAAAATTGAAATTATCATCAAACTTTTAGATAACAACAATATCGGTGTTCTTTCGTCGGGTTTTTACGATATTTAATTTTATGTAGATGGCGGTATGACCAGTTTCTAATATCAATATTTTACATAGGTACTTATAACTCGGTTAAAAATTAAAAATCGTAGAAAACCAACGAGAGAACACAGATAATGTTGATGCCTAAAAGTTTGATGATAGGTAAATTCACTCTAATGTCAAACTGACAGCACTCTTAATACAATTAATATTTAATAAAGAGTGTAAATAAAAATATTACACAGTTAATATAGGTAATCCGTAGATAGATAATACGTATAGATCTATGCGTATAATAATATGATCTAAGCCTTCCGAGGTGTAAATCAAGGTGGATTTATCCAAATTTATTAAATCCGCCATGGTGTAAGTAATGAAACATGTACGATGTACCTATGATCATAGATAAATAATAATACGTTTATTATCTATATCTGTGTGTATGATAGTTTTTATAATGGTACCTACTCACCATTTACATAATTTATATTTATACATATATAATTTCCGGTTCCAAGGATTTCAGCTCAATATGGTTCGTAAGAAAGTCATTAAGTTAATACCTAGTTATTAAGGTATTTTGCTTCAGTTTCAGTAGGTACTATAAAAAAAGGGGGGCAAGTGGATGTCGCCCTGCTGTACAGTAGGTTACAAATGGGTCAATGTATAATGGATTGTATTAAACTTGAATTCAATGATAATATTATAATATCATTGTATAAAAAAACGATTCTGAGCGGCGACGGTTTGTCGGTCAGGATATTTTATGTTGGTTTAATTCATTATAGCTTAATTAATTAATTCATTATATAATATAATTATTTTTTATTCGTTTCTATGGTGATAAACCAAGAGTTAGAAATTAAAATTCCAATTTTAGCGGTTTTTTGTAATTTGTCGGTGGTTTTTCTCGTGGCATTAAATAATTATTGAGAAAATCGAAAAATGACCTCTCTAAAGTACCATTATCTTAATCCAATTTCCTAAAAGATAAGATACTAGGTACCTATATGTTGAACTAAATTGCGGAATAAAAATCCCCTTGAAAAAAAATCCTCAGACACACAATATTACTCACAACTACATGCAAATGGACAATGGTTGAACAGATATTTTTTAAACGTTAATTATCTTCTATATAATTACCACATTATTAATATTTAATTACAAATACGTATATTATATTAAACTATATTATATCAATAATATCATTCAACAAATGTATATATATAATACTATAAATAATTTTCGAAAAATTAACAATAATATTTTATATTACTACATATATTATTATAAATTTATATCATTCAAAAATGAATAAATATAATATTATAAATAATTTTCTAGAATTTTAAGCTACAGTATTATAATTTGCAAATTTTTGTAGTTAAGCTGAATGCCTGAATTACATATCGTAATTTAAAACAAAATATTATTTATATTATCATTAATATTCTATTATCACTATATAATATAATTTTTTTAAATGATATAATATAATATAATATACGTATTTGTAATTAAATAAATAATGTGGTAATTATAGATACCAATTAACGTTTAAATTGGGTTGTGGGGAAGTAATGGACAAAGCTATTTTATTGAAGTTGAATATTATAGCTTATATATAGGTAGGTGTATAGGAGGTAGTATAGTACCTATAGTAGTATAATAGTTCAATTAACTTTAAATACATTTAAATTATGTATAGATAGTGATATTTGAACTGTTATTATTATTAGCATAGGTACAGTATGTGCATTATAAAATTTTGTTTTTGTTATAGGGATGAATTAAATTCTACATCACCTATGTAACCTGAACCTGACGGTCTGTGTGTCTGGTTATTTTCAAAAAAAATAACTTATAACAAAGTATATTTTAATTTTTCAAGAATTTACTGCAATAATAATGAAAATTAATAAGGCAATAAATAATTTATTGGTACCTACTTACTGGTTATGGCACTATACTTTTATAATGTTCCGGTAAATTTCTGTTTTTGCGAATACTACAGGTAAACATGGCATTTCATTATTTCAAGACAATTTTGTAATTTAAATAAAATAACAGTAAGTATGTTACCTAATCAAAAAAACTTAGTTTATAAGCCTTATAAGGCATACTATATATTATCTTAAAAGTCAATGCTCCAAAAGAAAACTAGGAAAATTTAAATGATGAGTTATAATTTTAAAAATGTTTTTATTATAACATGTTTTGTTATAAAACAGTAATCTGTTTAATTTTTATAATAGGTATATATTTTTTTTCTATAAAAAATTACTTGTTTTTAATTTTTTGTACAGATCATTTGAATGACAATTCAATTTGAATGCTTTTAACAATCAAATTTTTGTAGGATATAACTATAAAAACATTTTTATCTTTGTTTCACTACTATTCAAAGTTCATTAAGTAATCCGCTGGACCAAAAATAATTTAATTAGGTACCTAAACTAATACTTTTATTTATACCAACAAAATTTAATGGTAACCTAATAAAAAATAATTGTTTTGTTCAAATCTAAAATGTAACTATCATCATTACTAGAAATTACTAAATGAGAAGTTATAGGAGGTAAAATGGGCAAAATATGAACAACAAATGAAAACTATTCATATCAAAATATGCGTAAAAAGTAAAAACACTTAATACCTATGAACAAAAATTTAGAATTTTATTTGTATGAATATTTTGAATAAAAGTTTACCTTCTGATATTAAATAATTAATAAATAAAAAAATTAATGTATTGTACTTGTAAAGTAAATTTGTTGCATTGAACATCTGAATATATTGTAATTTCGACATCTAACCATTGTCAGAATTCTTTTTTTTTCATACCTGTAAATTCGTTGCACTGAACCACCAAGGCACCAAATCATTTTAGGTTTGAACGCTATATTATTAAAACTACAAATTTTGTATTTAACATTAGTTGTGTGAGAAAATTTTACTAAAAATGCATTATATGCACAAAAAAACATTAATATGGAACTCTTAAACAATTTAGAAAAATATGCAAAATTATGCACACAATAAACCAGAAATCAGAATGAACTCATTTTTATTAGATTAGAAAAATGCAATTTCCTTATCTTCTCATCCCTATTCATCACTAAAACATATTCTCATATAGGGGTACCTCATGAATGATTTGAAACAAATAATATTTTTATTTTTTAACATAAATAGGTTTTGGGCTGGGTACAAATATTTTTATTTTTAACCGATTTTGGGTAATAAATGACCTAATTCCCCCTAGGTATGTATACTGTAATCAATTAATTGTTTCTTATTAATACATACCTATTTATGATTCATACATTTTCTTCAAAGTTGAAAGTATCAATTAGCGTGCTACATTTATGTCTGACTCAATCATCACTTTTTTTATCTCTTTACTGACAAAGGAAATTTACAAAAAGGTAATTTAAGTAAGAGTGGAAGATTAAACTTTTCAAGTTACCACGAATTGTGTTTTTAATAAATACTTAATTATTATGTATAAAAAAATAATTGTTATTTTTCTTATAAATATTCAATTACATAATATTATAAAAAATATGATTTTCAAACAGTCATCAAAAATTAATGTGGGCTTGGCTTATACTTAAATTTGTTTATTGTAAGAAAATATTATGAGAAACCATGTATATTCAATTTTCAAACCTTTGGAATAAAAATTAAAAATAATTTTTACTAGGCACAATTAATATTTCATAATTTTCACAAAATTCACTAATAATAAAAAAACTATGACTGTATTTTCCATTTTTATTAATCGAGGTAATAAAAACTTACGAGGAAGCTTGTATTATATTCAAAATTTTTTTAGCCATAAACAAAAATTGTATCATATTTATAATTTGGAATTAATTTTAAAACAGATAATTATTTCAATAATATCTATAGGTACATTTTATAAAAAGAGCCAATATGTTTTTAAAATTATTATATTATATTATAAATATTTTTGAGTAAACGAAAAATATAAATCGGCTTTGTCAAACTGGTTTGGTGTAAACATTTTTACCCTAATTTTAGTTTTTCTGGTTATTAAAAAAATATCCAGGAATATTTAACTCTTAACTCTAACCAAAATAAATTTATTTGGTGACTATTTCTAGATAATCATTTTCAATCACAAAAAAAAAACATGATTGAAAATGTTGTTAAAATACCTAATCTTGTTTATCTGCTGATTATTGTTAGTTTTAAAAAAGTACCAAGAATTGTCTAGTTTGGATTTTCCAAAGGATCAAATATTATATAAAATTTGTGACTAGAAACGATCCTCATAGTTGAATTGAAGCATATTATGTTTGTTTTCTCGATATTCAATGACTTGATGACCAACACAAAAAAATAAATAATATTATAATATTATAGGTATACCTATGTATAGATAATTATATAATTTATTATTATTTATTACCTATATATAAAAAACATATAATTTTAAAACCAATACATTCATTGCTCAGAATCTAAAACTATAATCTCTTTCTACAACTGCAGTTGTACAACACTGCACTATTATTGCCCCTACCCATTAAAATAAATATAGCCCAACAAAATTGCTTATGGAATAGGTACCTATATCATATTATATTCCATTTAATAATTATATTTTAATTTGCCGAATATACAGCGTGCCTCAGAAATTACGTTAATATTTTAGGTATAGGTAGTATTTCTATAATAACAGTGTATCGTTACACATTGTCCCATTATCCATGTACAATATGCTTATTATACGCCTCGAGAATAGATTATGTACCTAATAAAATATAATTATATTATAATATGCTATTGAAGTCCCACACGTTGAACGTAGAAAAATTACTGACTTCATCGTGAGAAAAATTTAAAAATAGATCAAATTTAAGACACACCTAGGCACGCTGTACCTATAGGTCGCTGTAGCCTGTACCTAGATGTATTGTTGACGTCAATGATCAAACGAAAAATTCTTTAACAATTAACGACGGAACTGTTTGTATAATTGAACATTAATACATTGATAGAAACGTTTAAACAATACAATTGATATGTCAAAAAACGTGTTATAAATTATTATTCTGTATTTAATGTACGCCTAACTATTTGTAGGTAGGAGTGTACGATGTAGGTACCTACTTTCTCGGCTACTCATTATACGCTGTTACGGTGATAATGACGAATGATTTTAATTGCAATACAAATTAAAAACTTTTTTGACTCAAAGTTACAATGGATCTATTCATATTCAAATATTCAATATATAGCTAAGTATATATGTAACACTTCTATATTGATGTATATATATAGCTGTAATAATAACGGAAGTATTAAAAACTTATAAATTATAGGTAGGTACCTCAATATATATACATCAGGTATATACATCTTAAACATTTAACATTGGAATATAACATTTAAAATAGTAAACTTAAACTATAATAAATAAATACAAATACATATAACTAATAAAGTCTATTTGGTAGGTACCTAGGTATCTATGCAGTATGCACATAAATACATAATATAGGAGTGTATATAGATTATAAATATAGAACCTCTATAGAAGTTTTGTGAAATATCATTGTGAACTTTACGATTTTTATATAAATACCTCATTATTGCTGTATAACAGTGTAACTGTGTAAGCATATGGTAATATTGTAAGTAGGTAAAGGACGACATTTTGACGTTTACGTCATTAACCATCAACCAAAAACCTATACTGATATAATATAATATACTCTGTTCAGAAACCTTACATGGGCAGGCAGGCTTTATTGTCAGGATTTTTCCAACTACAAAAAATAGAATTTATGTTATAGTGACTTGAGGCCTTGTGGGGTTTACAGTAATGCATCTCCCCCCATATATGTATGCATAAAACATGTTTTATTTTAAACTCGAAAAAAATTGTATACAAAAATATATTTTAAAATAAATTATTTAATGTAGGACGTTGCTCGATTAGTAGGTAATATTGATTGTAGGTAAACTACCTATATCCTATACTCTATTTTCATTTCCAACTTTCCAAGTTATGACTTACAAGTTACAAGTATACATTTTAGATAAACTGTGTGATTTATACTTACTATATAGCTTATATAACAGCGGTTCTTGATCTTGTGTGGCATGCGGATGACTGTAAAAAAATCTTTGACGCCACGACCCTCGAGTTTATAAGCAAATAAATATTATTTCAATAACTCTTTTTTTCACTTACTTGAATAACATTTGCAAATTTTTTTACACAAAAGTTACTTTTTCCATAACAAACTTCCTATGAGAGTCATTTTCTAATGCTTTGCAAAGTTTTGCGATTTTGTCGAATTTTTTTCAAAACTAGAACTTCAAAATATGCTTATAAAAAATATTTGTAGAATTACGCTAAATTTTTTTTAATTCCAATAATAAAAACTTATGAGGGAACCTATTGTATTATATATATTTTTAAAAACGCGCCCCTGACTTCATATTTAAAGATAATAACAGCATGGATGAGTACAACAACGATTCATTACAGCCTTGATCATATATATAGAAATATATAGCCGAAATGCCGAGTTCCGCATGGAATACTGACTATAATTTTCTAATAATGTATATATATAGTGTTCTATTTAAGTGTCTATATAGGTAGGTACATGTCGTCATGTCAGCGCTATTATATTTCGAAAAATTAAATTGTTTTGAAATGAAAATATTAAATAATTTGATTTCATTGAAAAAACCATATGCTCGCATACGTTTTTAAGTTTTTAATTTTTTAGAACGACAACATATTATTATATATTTTTAATTTCATATTCTGAAGCACTAAGCAGAATATTATTTTTTGGAGTAGGTACCTACTTGTAATAGGTACTTACTTCAATACATAACAATCGATTTTTGAATGAGTATACTCTATAGTTATAATGGTTGTAAGCAGGGCTTGAAACCGATAGATAATACCGGTTAAAACCGTTGAAAACCGAAACCGAAAATAAAATCGAAAAAAACCAATACTGGTAATCTTAACTGAAATCGAAATCGGAAATATTCAAAACCGGTATTCAAAACCGAAATCGAAATCGGAAAAAATAAATACCGATATCCGAAACCGAAATGGAAATCGAGACTCTACCCCGCTCATCAATACAATTAAATAGGTATTCGTTTGAAATTCGACTTTTATGTATTATATCTTGGTACCTATACTCTGAAAAGTATCCTACTCAGAAATAAGAAACTTAAAATGCAGGCATATTAACAAAAAAACTTGACAACAAAAACGTTGTTTTTCAATTGGGTACCTACCTAATTCATTAATTGAAGTAAAAATTAAATGCTCAAAAAAATTAAAACTCTTAGACATATTGACGTATGTATACGTAGGTATATAATATTTACCTACGCACTTAAAAGTCAAAATAGATCGCCTTGAATAATATTATTATATCTGAGATATTCTATTCGGTGTTCACTGTTCAGTATGTTCTCCAGACTTCAATTCTCTACATATTGTATAGTCGGGAACGGAATTTGAAAACGCGCACGACATTAATATTGTATTAGGTACCTACACCACGCTAGCGCAGCTCTGTAATGTATTTTAAGATTTGCATAAAATACGAAGGTTTTCAATGTAACGATCCGAGCTCGTTACCACGGGGCGACCGAATATTACTGTGTGCATATATGCATAATGTACCCGGTGATTGCACTAACGACGTTAATGTATCTACCTATACTGCACGCGTTATTGGACGAGCTGAAGGACGGGGCCGCCGTGGGAAGGGTTTTACAATAATAATATTATTATTATGGCGTCGACGTAGACAATTCGATTTTTGGAAACGTGTTTTATAATTAATTGCGCGAAATCAAATAAGTCGTTACAAAGAAACAATATTATATTATATAATAATAATATATTATAATAATTATATACAATAATGCTCGGTCGTGCGCGGTCAACTACGGCGCTATAGACGCTGCAGCTGCAGACGACGCGAAACGAATCATAATAAATTGGTAATAATAATAATAATAATATAGGTATATAAATTCGTATGTAAGCGAGTACAACACACGCACGTACACAGTCGTCATGATAAATAAATAAAATAAATATATAATAATAAATATATAAGTAATTATGATGATGATAATAATAATAATTAAAAATGGCCGAAACATATTGTGTTCCGAAGTATGACGTATATAATACCTCCGCGACGGCGGGTGGCATTTTCCAGTGGTTTGTTATTATTGTTTGCTATAACAATACGGGTACGTAAATATTAATGTCGTCCGGCCCGGGCCGGTTTCCGCGGACCGGACATCCTTCCGTCGCCACCGCCGTCATCACCGGCGTCTCCTGACCTGCGGCGCGGCGTACGGCGAGTAGTTGACCGCGGCCGATGACTTGGCGTGGCTGGCGTACGAACCGTAAACGCCGTACGACTCGGTGGGCGACGTGTGCCACGGGGTCTCGATGATCTTGTACGACGGCGGCTGGCTCTCCCGGTTCTTCTTCAGCACCATGATGAACTGTGCGATCTGGATGAGCACGCTGATCAGGCTCAGCCCGACGCCCTTGAACGCGAACAAGTGCCCGATGGCCGCCATCAGCGTGCTAAGCATCATTTTCACGTAGCTCAGGCCCATGTGCATCATCTCCATCTTGTGTTTGTTGCCGCCCTTCTTGCCCCTGGCTGAAACCGAACGATTCGAGGCCATTAAATATCATAATACGCAATATAGTTAATAATAATGTAATATATACTGCAGGTGTTAGGCATAGATGTGGGTAGTATAAGCGCAATTTGAGGAGGGGGTGCTTAGCCTTCCGAACGCTTCTTTAGCCTCCTGAGATAAATACATTTTTTGAGAAACCGTTTTTCCTTGCATAATAATACAATATTAATAATTATTTAAAATAATGTACTTGATGATATTTTTAAAATTGATGTAGGAATTTTTTTTCCAACTTGTCGTTAACCTCACTAATTGTAGCCACAGCTGATATAATCCAACTAATATTATACACTGTGGTTATCAGCTGTTAACTAATACCATCTCATTTCGTCGTATTATACTTACTGGCATAGTGGTATGTATGTATGTATGTATGTAATATGTATGCATCATGCATGTACGTGTACACTTTAGGTATCTATATATCCCCCTAACTTCTCATAAAAAGAGGGAACTAAAAAAATATATGCCATGTCTGGTCTATGGTAAAAAATCGTCCTGATAATCGATGGATTATTAAAAACAATGTTTCACGTGACGTCATAGGGAGCAATTAATTCAAATTTCTGAAGGGGCTAATACTGATAGATACACGATGTTAGTCACCTTTATTTTATGAACTTATGATGTAGGTAGGTACCGGACTATAAAATATTATGAAAAAGTGTATCTTTCAATTAGTTAACTGTATTGAAGAAAATTCATGAAAATGGCTGTATATAGTTAATAATTAATATAATCATATCTATATATTATAATAATTAATATCAGTTATGTACCTATACTGATGTCTGATATGTAATGTTACATAGAGCATATTTATTTAATTTTTAATTCAACGATAATTCGCCGTCACGCCGTATAGTAGTCAACGTATGATTATAGTCATTGGAGGTGAGTCTCATATGAGAAAAAATTAGTTGGCCGCATCTAGAAAAATAATTCACTCTACCACGGGTAAGTAGTAACCAGTAAGTATTCCACGATAACTATACTCGTGTATATTATTATATATCATATCTATACCTATACATTGTATAAATAAAGAGTGTGAGTACTTGAATAGATTTTTTGTATTCTATATATTATTATAATATGGGCTATTAGACATGGCACATACGTGGCATTGCAGATTACACAATTAACTATATCACTACTATAGTTTATAGAACTATATATTATATTACCTACATAGACTAGGTACCTATATTAGTATATACTTTCATACCATAGCCACTACTCACTAGGTATAGCGACTATATAGTAGTGGTATCGACTATAATATTATATCAGCTATAGTATAGCTACTATATATATTAAATTATTTATCGTACCTATCTACTGTGTTGATTATCCACGATAATAGTAATGAGAGCACCGAAGTGAACGTTGACGTGTAGGCTATAGTCCATAGCTCGTCGCTGTCGGTATAAGTATAGACTATAGGTAGGTAATATATGTTTCATGCAGAGTATAACATCATGTGTTTCAGTGAAGATCATACAAATACGAATTAACAATGTAACTAATGTATTCTACCATCTTCATATCGTTTTGTTTATTATAATTTTTAATCATTAATGACGATAGAAATAATAGGAGCTGCGATGAAAGCACTAATGTGAAGTGAAGATTGGGAGTAACCCGTCGGTAAGTATAGGTGTACGTAGTACGTAGATACTACTCGCGTGCATTAAGAGCAAGTCGAATGAACTTGTTGTGGTAACTGGTAATAGGTAGAACCTATAAAAGTTAATAGTACCTATAGAATAATGCGTGGCGAGATGATTTTTCAATTAATATAAATCCGCAGTATACGTAGGTACTAAGGTACTGGTGTAATTCAAGAAGAAGAAAATCCTTACTTACCTATACATTTGATATACGTTAAGTAAGTACCCATTCATATTGTAATCATAATATAACAAGTAATAACAACCAATATAATAAGGTCAAAAAATAAGGTCGTAATGTATTTTGTTTTTTTTTTTTGTATATAGAAAAAAATGATGTACCTTTATATGAGTTTCATACTGAACTCAAATTCGTAATTGCGTGCTATTTATACATGTTTATCTTGTGTACACCATTACAAAAATGCAGTACGCTAACATCGTTACAAAGAAAATAATAAGCGATACCACCGGAAGTTCGAATAATTGTCACGAGTTGGTTTTTCAACGCAACTACTCAACGGTGCATGACTACAAACGGTATAGAATAGCACAATTACCTATGTGTGTTGGCCAAAATACTAAAGATAAAAACGCTTAAGTAAATACTATAGCTATCTAAAAAAAAACTATACTGTCCTGGAGATTATTTGATTTATTTGAATCTTAAAAAATATTTGCTTTTTATATAATTAAAAAAAATATTTACTTTTTAGTTTTTATATAATTTATAAAAATAAGAGCATATCAAATTATCAAGTATAAGAATATTTTGGTTCGTATTGAATAAGATAACTATGGTATCTATATTTTCAGTAATATAAGGCAATATTATACCTATCCTTATTGCCTACATGTCTTGGATTACTCATTAGTCATTAGTAATTTACACCCCCTTCCAATCAAACCGTGAAGTCTCTTCCAAATATTTTTGAAATAATAATTTTAATTTAGATATTATTCACACTTATAATATAATATTATAAACGCCAACATATAATATAAATAATAATTGGACTTGGACAATAATAATATATAGGTACCTACTATAATATTTCTATAGTAAAAATTAAAAACAATAATTTTTATTTTAAATGTCAATGTAAGCTATACAATTTGACCATTATATACTTTTAACCACAAAATCATTTTGAAATTTGATAAATTTTGTAAAAAATCGAACATTAAAAGCTTATAAAAAAAATTGTGTCAATGTATTTTTAATTTTTTTCAACTGATATTGTAACGATATATTTGCAGACCTGTATTACATTTTAAAGCTTTTTGACTCAACAAATACAATTTTATTGACATTTATATTGTTTTTTTTTAGAATTAAACCAAAAATCAAAATCGATTTGTCAAAAACTGATTTTGATTAAAAATTCACTTTTTTCCTTAGTTTTTTTTTTGTTTTTCCCGGTGCTACTGAAAACTCCTGAGGATTTTTACTTTTGACCTTCAACCACCTAGATTCAATTTATTATCAGAAAAGATTTTTTTGAAGAAAATCTAAGCATTTTTACCGTCCCAAAAGGTGATGACAGGCACAAATAAAAAAAAAAATCATTGTAAAATCAATACATTCATTGCTCCGCTCAGAATCTAAAAGCCTGTAAGTAGATTAGAAACCAGTGACGTATTTAGGGGGGCAATTGACCCGGGGCGCCAAATTATGTGTCCTCAAAGGGGTGCCGTTGCTAGAGGTTATAACAAAATTATTTTTTTATTTTATTGGATTTTTTGAGAAATTATATTAGTGATAAGTGATAACTGATAAGTGAATAGCTGTATCTTTCTTATAATATCTTTTACATTTCTATACATATTTCTATGTAATATATGCATATAATGTATTTTATTAAATTGACATAAAAAAAGGCTAAAAGGCTAAAATAAAAATTATAATTTGTTTATTTAATTAAAAATAAACGGAGTGTTTTTTTATGGAAATAAAAGTGTTCTCTAAATTAGTGGAAGCATAAATGCAATAAGGGGAAAATATACATTTTGGATTATTAATTATCACTTTTACATGGCTTGAAACCGATTGCAAAAATTTCTGTTTTGGTTTCGATTTGTACACCGGTTTCCAATTTTTTTCGGTTTTGGTTTTGAATTTTGTTATTGGTTTCAGTTTTTAAATGGTTTATAAAAAATCGGTTTCAAGACCTGGACTATTTAAGTTCATTCTTAGTTTATTAATTTTTTTGAATCGCTGGATCGAGCGTCCGATCGCCTATTGTGTAAAGTAAACTTTCCAAAATGTCAAGATACAAAGATTTTCAAAAAAAATACCGTTTTTTAAATTATATTTTCGGTTTTTAACTATAATACCGGTTTCCAATTTTTTGTTGGTTTCGGATTTGATTTTGTTTTCGGTTTCGGTTTTATAACAGTTTATACCGATTTCAAGCTCTGCACTATTAACTGAGAGAAAAAGTAAATTGTAAATTAGAGTTTTTTTGTGACAATGAGTAAAAGGAAACTGAGAAAAAAAGGGGCGCCAAAATGTGTGTACCCAGGGTGCCAAAATCGTAAATACGCCACTGTCAGAAACCTGCGGTAATCTTATCGGTATTATTATACAATATATTACCTGTGGTAAACACATCGACAGTCTCTGCAGCTGCTGAATCACGTGGTGCGAAGGCGTCAGCAGTGATCGGGTCGATGTCGCCAGAAACCTCGGGCGTTGCTGATCTGATGCTTCTACGATCCGAGATGGAATGACACGAGCAAACAGCCACGGCCAACAAAACGACAATCGATAGTAATTTGTTCATTGTGTATATTTTTTGGTTTTTTTCGACGACTTTGAAATCTAAGAAAAAAAAGACAAGACAAACAAATAATAATAATAGTATTCGATCGTATGACTATTGACACACAATTAATGTTGTTTTGACACGATCAGTGCATATAGTTTAATATTTTTTATGTTTAAGCACATAATTTAATATACATACAGATAAGCACCAACAATTAAGTAAATGAGTACGAAAAAAAAAATAAATACCAACTATGGAAAAACAAAACAACTTTGACTGAACTATTGAAGTTTTTATTTCGCCCATATTCATTTGCAGTTATCAATAATTTTGACAAAATAGTTAAAAAAAAAAAAAAAAACACATAAATGCTGGATAACCTCTATCTGATATGTACCTAACTACCTACGTATTACGTTTAATGGCAAATAGTCTATATTTTTGACTCTAAAACGATGTCATGGAACGCGGGATTGGAACGTGTAGGTATCGGGTTACTTGTCAATAATATGCGTATCAACAGTAGGTTAATACTAATAAGATAACAGATAAATATAATATCTTAAAAACCAATAAAAATAACCGTTACTGCGGTAAATATATTATTCCAATTTCTAAATTATTAGGACATCTAATGTATAATTATAATATTATAATATATATATATATATATATATATATATAATATTATGTTATGTATGAATGTATGATATGTACTAAAATGTTAAATATTAATGCATGTAGGTGTAATATTATGGAATATAGACTTAATAGTTTATAGAGAACACGAACAGTAAATTACTTAGTCAAATCTATTCCTTTTAGAATACAAATTATATTTTCAATCATTTGAGTAATGGAAACTTGTTTTGAATATCTTATGCTCATTAATTTCCTCGATCTAACTTTCGTAGATAGATATGAATACCTACTCACGGAAAAAAAAAATTACTACAATATTATAATTGAACAAATTAAAGTAGATATAGCTATTTAATAGGTAAAATAACTAAAATGATTTACTTATTATGACTATATAAATATAGTTATTAGTTAGTTTTTATGGTAAAGTTTACTATATTTTATAGTTAACTAAGTTTTTAATGTTTGAATTAATTAAAAAATATAGCTAAAATAGCATATTTCAGTTCGAATAACTATAATAACTTGACTATGATATTTTAGTAAATCTGACTAACCTTATAAGTTATAGTTATCCCTATAGGCATTGCAATGTACATTCAATTCTACTATTTTTATAGTACAAACAACTGTTTTGTTTTTCCCGTGCTTAAGTTACGAAAATAATTTATTATTAGGTATGTATCTACTTAAATATTATTTTAAACAAAAACATAATTTTTTTTATCAGACTAGGTACACATAATATACTGTCCTATATTATAATATGGAAATGAGAATTAAAATGTATAACTAAATAATTCATTATAATATTGTTTATCTAATCCATATAATCCCTAAACTGAACCGTCTGAACCCATTTATTGCCAGTAACTTGAAGAGTGCGACAAGCTATTGACCAAAATTGGAATATATATTAAAAGTACCTTCCCATTACTCAACAAACCAGTCTGCACTTGGATCTGTCATTTTGTTATGAAGAATACGTACTTGTATTAAACTGTATAACCAGTTATTTTATGTCTTATTCAAAAATGAACATTATAGAAACTATTTCTATTATTGGATGATTATAATTGGGATTTTGTGTTTTAAATAGTTAACACATCCAAAATTGATCTGGATTTCCGGAATACGAATATTGTCTGATTATGGTAAGATACTTTCTTGCGACAAATTTTCCTTGAATATTTCTCTAGTAAATTTCTCTCGATTTCTTTTATTTCTTTTTTTTTTCAAATAGTATATAGTGGGTAGGTATACGCTAAGATATTATGTATAACATATTAATTGTTAATTTCTTGTTATGTTTTTACAAGATTTTGCATTTTTGACACACATATGAGTACGATATGATGGATACTGTATAGACGTATAGTGTATAATATATATGTGTTATACATATTACATAATATATATTATATATTCTACGGTTCATTGTAAGATAGAAACATTATAGTATTTTTTTAGACGCATATATTGTATACGAAATAATGTTTCTGTTTGTCTGTTGTGTTATTAATTTTTTTTATTCTACTTGAAGAAGATTGTGGGATAATGTCATATTATTATAGTTTAATGAAGTATTTGATCGTTTTCAACACACCTCTATAGCCTACAGGTATTATTAACAACCTGTACTTATATCAAAGTTAATATGAACGCTGGTTTTCTTTTCATTATACCGTGTGTGTGTGTGTTTATGTTTGTTGATTTTCGAGGAACGTTCTAGTTTGCATAATGATTGTCATTTGTCTTCGGATCGAACGACAATCGTGAGATCCAAACTCGGGAGTGGAGCACACGTCGTCATACGTACCTACCCGTACATTTTCGACTAAATTCCATTGTAATCGACGGCGTCCAATGTAATATTATGCGGGTGTCCTGTCGCAATGAAAACCACAATGTGACGGTCTCGAACAGAGATTCATTTGGCTGGCACCAAATACTCTCACCGTATATTATTACAATGTAATATAGACGCAGGTACTTACGCATCATCGCAGACAATAAAATAGTAAATATGTATATACATACGCACACCGGCTTTTTAATATGCGTGTGCGCGACTATCGGATTTCTAATAATGTGCATTTCCATTGTGTCCGTTAATTATTGCTTCTATAATCGAAACTCTTTGGGCGGCGGTAATAACGATTTTAAGTCTTATAAAGTCATTCCAGTCGCGTTCCAGTCGGAAACTTAATCACGCCACTTTGGAATATCAACTCAGTCTTTTGCAGATAGACCGTATCCGCTTTTAACTACTGCATATAGTGTACACATCCATTAATAATAATGACGGTGATTCGCCACGAGCTGTGACAACAAACACGATTATTAACATTCGATGAGCGGTCCTAACCGTTATTTTCACGCGACTTTTATAATGAATAATGATTCAAAATTTTAAAACGACCGGCGACGCCTAGGTATTTCGGTGGGAGCCGAAACGTTCCCGATATACTCGAGTATATAGTTACATATTATACAGTTGTACATATATATATACGACGTTTCACAAATCAATATTTATTATTTATTATACGTATGGGTCACACATATGTCATGTACAATTCGCGTATTTGTGTGCCAACGGATTCGATTTATTATGAATTATTATTATATACGAAGAGTTTAGATCATCTACCTATATAATATGTTGCGTTCTATATAATTGATACCTTTTGCATAGTATTATTATTGTTACGTTTTGAGCGACTATTAACGAGTGACAAAGAATAGTATTTTTTGGAATCGCCTATAAACCAGTTGCAGTCTAGTATTCGAGTAATAATATAATGTGGGTATCATATGACGTATTATTGTAATAGCCGGGTCATTCGACATAATTGAACTTGGAATCGTCCAACTTCGGAACATGCAGGGAAAATAAAAATACTATAATATTATAGTTAAACAAATCATAGTAAATATATAACTATTTAATAGGTAAAATAACTAAAATGATTTACTTTTTACGACTATATAAATATAGTTATTTGGTATGGTAATGTTTATTATATATTATAGTTAACGCAGTTCTTAATGTTTGAATTAACTAAAAATATAGTTAAAATAGCATATTTCAGTTCAAAAAACTATAATAACTTGACTATGATATTTTAATAAATCCGACTAACTTTATAGCTATCCCTATAGGCTATACCAATTATAATGTACAGTCAATTCTATTATTTTTTTCATAGTACAATCAACTGTTTTGTTTTTTCCGTTTGACATTTACAGCCTTAAAAGTAGGTACACTGCAGATACAAACTTATTAATTTATTATAAGCGCAGACTGCTTTGTTAACGATCACGATCATTGTTCCTATATAGTATATATAATATATATACTATATACCTACATAGTTTTCAAACGCAACTAATGGCTTATGCAAATATTATAACACTATAGTATACTATAATAGGTACTATTAAAAGTTGTACACTTGATCTTTATTCCACTAATAAACGAACTACGCATAAGATTTTACCAAAAATAAAACCGATTTTTGATTATTTAAACATTATACTTAGGTATTTTGTTTTTTTTGTGGTTTTCAAGTTTGCAAGTTTGCAACACAGGTACCTAAAACCTAATGTCATATTTTATAACATATTGTGTGAGTAGTTATTAGGTATAGGTACTGATTATTGTTTTTGTCTTTTAGAAGATATGTCAGTTAGAGTCAAATGATTTGCAGTTCTATTGCAATTGAATTAATTGATAGGTATAGGATTTGAGTGAATGAACCATATTCATATGCATGTCTCCATGATGTATTACCGTTGGAACTTTAAGTTCTTTTTACGAGAAAATTGAATCGTTTTTAAAAAGCCATGAATGTCCATCTTATATCGCTCGAAGTAAAATACAAATAAAATTCATTTTTCCTGTGCTTTTTTGTTTGTAATTTTGTATACCGTGGGTGGTTATTTATAGTGAAATGAAAATCTACGATTTGAGCAATTTTTTTAAGGAGTTTGGGCTATAATTTTGATCGAATTAAAACTGTCAAAACTCGGGAGACATAAAAGTTTTATCCCGAGGGTACCAAATACATGAGCTCCATTAGAGACAAGATTAATGCTCACGAAATAGCGAACAAAGGAGGGGCGGTACATAGACGTGTCGTATTTCTTTTCCTTCACAAAAGTCTTGTTAGGCTAAGCATCTAAGATCTACTTCTCAATGTAGAGAATGTCAATTTACAAGTTAAAAATAATTCGACATTTAAAGGATCATTATATTCATGTCAAAATTATAAAGCATTTATGATTGGAGACCTGAACATTTAATTATATTATTAACTGTGTTAATAATCTGTAGTTTCGTAAAATTTTAAGCACACTCAGGAATTTCA